ATAAACAAGAGGGAAGAGCTACGACAAGTGATGTTGCCATCCTTGGACGAGCTGCCGGTGTTTATCTTCTGGAAGAAGTTATTGCAACATGGACCCTAATTTGCTGGATCTATTAGTTCAAGAACAGTGGAACCTGATTATATATACATGACTGGTTAAAGAAAATTGATCACCATTTCAAAATTTGATCATCTAAATTTGTAACAGAGAGAAAGACAGATTGAGGGTGAATCTTTAATCCTTTGAAAATTCTTTCACTTCGGAGAGAATATTTAAAAACAAAAAGAATCTCTTTAACCCTTTGACACTTCTTTCACTTGGAAGTCAATATTAAAAAAAAAAGAATCCCCTTTAACCCTTTGAAACTTCTTTCACATGGAAGTCGATATTAAAAAAAAAGAAATCTATTCAACCCTTTGAAACTTCCTTCACTTGGAAGTGGATATTCCAAAAAAATCCCTTTAACTCTTTGAAACTTCTTTCACTTGAAAATCAATATCAAAAACAAAAAAATGTCCTTTAACCCTTTGAAACTTCTTTCACTTGCAAGTCAATATCTCACAAAATAAAAAAATTCCACTAAGTTTAATCACTTAAAACATTCACATACGTCCTACTTAAAAATTTAAAGGGTCAAAACGTGTGTGTCATCCTCAGTAAGCTAATCTACCCCAACATAAAACACCCAGAACCCGAATTAATAATACCGTCAATACCCACAGACGTCGATACCAAGATTCGACAATTCCTCACTGAATTTCTACACACTTTAAAATCCAAGTTTCACCGTTACCATCAAACCTAGATCAATCACCATTACCGACCATCGTACGCAGTCTCCGTTCAACGCTTAATCAAAATCGATTCACGATCAATTCCGACGACAAACCGCGTCCGAAAACCTGCAATTCAAGATCCTCGCGATCCTCCCGCGCGCGAGAGGATCAATTGGAAACGTTTCTGCAACGCTTTCTACGCTTTTATCGAGCCCATCGATCGCCGGAGTTACGACAGATTCAGGCGCGCTCGCGCGATTGCTGCACCAGGCTGGCTCTCTGCTGACGAGGCGAAATCGCCGGCGTGCATTACGAAAGTTAACTGGAGCACGAATCGACTTTCGATTCGGTGGCAAGAGAGGCCCCTTGGCGTGCTCCCTGAAAACCGAGAGTTAACTCCTGTGGATACCAACAGCCAGAGAGAAGTTTCTCGCTCGAACCCGCGAGTCCAACTTGCTCCTTTACTCTCTCGCGCAGAGAAACGGGAAGAAAAAGGACGGCGGATCGTAATCTCTTCCCACGAATTCGACCTCGACTAAACTTCTTCTGCGTTACGTAAATAACGGCTTGCTTCGTCTTCTTCTTCATCGAGAAAAAGTGTCTCTCTTCTTCGTCTCAGATGGTAACTCCTCAGATGGTAATAAGATTTTCCTAGCGAGATATATATGAACAGTTTGGTTAGAGAAGAGGAACCGGTATGGAAGAAGCTATACGGAAAAGTTTCTACGAGTTTTATTTAAATGGTGAGAATTACGGAATCGAGGAGAATCGCAGAGGCGATAGCTATCTGAATTGGCAAAGAATGCTGGCGAAATTGACTTCGATCGACTAGCGCGTTTCGAAAGATATCGAAATCCTCTTGAGACTTTCTATGCTTCTGGGTTACGCGTTTGTTTCAGCGTTCTATAGAGAGGTTAACGGCTGTGTTCAGCTGTTTCTCTTACGGATAATTAACCGCAGGCGGTTTTTAACGCCATTTTTTGAATATTTTTTGTGGAAATAATTAGCGAATTTTTGGAGTTTACGTGTGAGCTAGAAATTTTCGTTTCAATTCTTACGGTAGACAGTACGGCAAATTTAATTGTGTTGATCTTATCAACGTGGATATTTGGGTAACTGTAATTTTTGCCTATCTTGAAAATGAGCTTTTCTGAATTTTTCAGAGCTTTCAAGATTTCGTGAAAAATGGCACCCAATTAATTTTTACTCCTAATATTACCACTATTATGTCTAATCAGTTGTAAAATGATCACTACCATTTAACAACTGACAAAGTAATTTTCTTCTCCCCGGGAAAATCATGTTTCCAATAAATCACGCAAATCCAAATGCAAATTCATCAAAGTGTCCGAAGAGAATCTCATAAATCTCCACACAGTCTCTCCCCGCAGAAGAGGAAAACTAGCACGCTGTACCCTTTGTCCACTTCTCTCTTCCAATGAGACTTGCCGTTATCTACGCTTTATCAGAGCCCCTGAATCGTTTTGACACCGATTTCGAAACGTCAATTGAAACGAAATCTGTTCTAAATCAGCGGCGAAGCTAGGGGAGAGGAGGAGGAGGAGTTAGGGTTAGCCTCGTGGCGAATTTCCACCGGGAAAATCGAGGAACGTTTCCACGGGCGAGTTTAGAGATCGCGGCAGGGAGCAACGAGATATCTAGTTGCAGGTCATTCACATCGCGAGGGGACGAGCAGTAAAAATAGAACGAGAGCGCCAGGAACGCGTGCTCTCACGCACAACCACGAGGATGATATCGACGAAGACGACGAAATTGACCGAGGAGGAGGAGGAGGACCCGTTGACAAGACGTGACCCTTTCAGACGGGGAACTCTTTGTTTGGAGAACTCGTGATGCGGGTTGTGATAGCTGGTGGAGATTCTTTGGACGTGTTTCTTGGGGTATGATAGGACGGGTTTTCGGTTGGGACGAGGTTTGTTGTTGGAGAATGGAGGAGTTAGTTGGGAAGAGTTGGGTTAGTTAAATTAAGAATTTCGTGGACGAAGGTAAAGCAAGTGGTGAAATGAGAAGTGTTGTTTTTAAGAAGAAGTAGGAAGTGATTTTTGTGATTTATGGTTCAAGATTTTTTTGGGAACTGAGTTGAGAAGACTTGGTTTAGTTAAACTGGAAATTTGGTAAATGAAGGTAAAGCAAATGGTGAGGAATTTTGGGGAACTTTATTGGATGCACCCTAGAGAAGAGTTGTTTTTGAGAAGAAGTAGGAAGTGAGTTTTTGTGATTTATGGTTCAAGATTTTTTTGGGAACTGAGTTGAGAAGACTTGGTTTAGTTAGATTGGAAATTTGGTAGATGAAGGTGAAACAAGTGGTGAAATGAGAAGAACTGTTTTTGAGAAGAAGTAGGAAGAGCTTATTTTTCATTTGATGATTTATGATTCAAGATTTTTTTGGAAAGTGAGTTGAGAAGACTTGGTTTAGTTAAACTGGAAATTTGGTAAATGAAGGTAAAGCAAATGGTGAGGAATTTTGAGAAACTTCATTGGATGCACCCTAGAGAAGAGTTGTTTTTGAGAAAAAGTGTGAAGAGTTTTTCACTTGCTGGTTTATGATTCAAGATTTCTTTGAATAATAGAAAACTGAAAAATAGAATACTAGAAAATAGAAAAATTGAATATAAATTTTAATATAGCTTGGCATTACTTAAAAAATGTAAATTTGGCAGGAAAAGCAAATCAAAATTTACATTTAATTGATAGTTGAATACTGATCGTACAATTTCTTTAAACTGACTCTACTTTTGCATCTATTCAGATTGAAGATCACAGATAGCAAATTTACCAAAAAATTCAACAGAATGCCAAATCAACCCCATATTTTACACTCTTTTTTTCAGCCACAGGAAACAGCTACAAATGTGTCAGTATTAATGAAGAGACTTATCTAAAATTAGTGCAATGTCAGAAATGTACCGTTTCATACAACAACGATACTGTACCCACACAATCTATTGTGCAAGAACATCAAAACGACATCATCTTAACTACGAAATACACCAAACTCTTCGAACGAAGATACAAATACTACGACAAATAAAAATTGCCAAAAATTAACCTCAATGAAGACCAACGATAATACTCGTGAGAACAGACCTTTGCTCCAATATATCACACTTAACATTGTCAAGGAACACCATAATTCTCCATCTACTTAAGAAGGAGAAAAAGAAACTATCACTGGATGGCTGGAGCAAAAACTAAAACTGGTAACCGATCGTGTACCATAAGAGAACGGGTCAACGAATGATCCTCTACGCCTTTGTCCTCTGCAACGTGAAGCTCACTGTCATCGCTAACGACCAATTAAACTGCAATTAAATTGGCTTCACTGTGCCGGTGGCTCTAAACAAGACACCATTGGCTCGGTGCAACTTCTACGTTCAAATCGTCGCGAACGTTACACAATAAGCCAGCCTCAACAAAATCATTCCGTAATTGACCGTAAAATAATTAATTGCGTACTATATAACAAGTACAATTTCTTCGTCACGTGTAATCTTGAATTGAACGAGAGAAACTGGTCAACTGGATCACTCGAAGTTACACAATAACTAACCTTAACGAAATTACACCACAATTAACCTTAAAATAATTAATTACACGTTGTATAATTGTTGGGTTTTTAGTTAGGCGAGGCAGTCGAACAGAAGGTAGTCAACACGAGGTAATAAACACAGCACGATATATTTAACATGTAAACGGGATGCTACAACTGTACACGAGCGCGCAAGGAAGGAACAGCCCAAGCCACGCGTGCTCTCGGGGAAAAACAGTCGACGATCAGGAGTTCTCCGCACGCGGGCACTTTGAATACTTTAGTAATAATTATTAAAATTTATTCGTCATATGTGATCTTGAGTGAAACGAGAAAAACTGATCGATTGGATCACTCTAAGTTTCACAATAACTAACCTCAATGAAATTACTCCTTAATTAACCTTAAAATAATTAATTACACGCTGTATAATAATTGAAATTTATTCGTCGTATGTGATCTCGAGTTAAACGAGAAAAACTGGTCAATTGGATCACTTGGGTCTCTCTAAGTTACAGAATAACTAACGCTAATAAAGTTACTCCTTAATTAACCTTAAAATAATTAGTTACACGCTGTAGAATAATTAAAATTTATTAAATCTTGAATCAGAAGAGAAAAGAAAATGACTGGATTACTCTAAGCTGAATTAAAGGAGAATTTTTACTACGTACCTGCGTGTAACACCAATTCTCGGCTACGGGGGTGTTCACTTCCGGTGGTGGAGGGCTTGGTACACGGCTTACTGCCATACTACTGCTGCTGTGCAAGTTTGAGCTGACTCGCGACGTTTGAGGCGCACAGTCGCTCACCGCAATTCTGAAACACACCAATTGTTTACAAGTTACTTTTTGTTGCTGTAGTTTTGCTAACAATTTCGTTGGTTTTGAAGGATTACGGTGACTGTGTGGTAATTGGAACAGTTGAAACGAACGAGAATGTAAATCTAGGGTAAACTAAATTTGGTGTTCACCTGGTCTTCATTCTCACCTGTTCAATTTTAGAAAAGAACAATTTTTTGAAATTTGAGTTTACGTTTCGTGAGACTGTCTGTACGTTCTCAATTACCATTTAGTTCAAGGAAAATTCATAAAATAATTCTTAGAAATGTGAATTTAGAGAAATAGTTCATAGAAGTGTGAATCATTTATGTAAATCTTTATCATTTCCAATTGCATTCATTATCCAAATTTCGAGCCCAAATTTTTCCACTGAAAAAACCGTAATTAACTTATTTTATTACTATCACATTTTCTACTCTTCCAAATAATGAAAATTCGTGAAACAACTTTTTTTAATAATTTATAAAAATCTCTGACATTTCCAATTGTATTGATTATCCAAATTTCCAGCCATAAATTAACTTAGTAGAACCATAATCAACCTATTCTCCCATCACCACTCTCTCCACAATTCTAAATAAAAAAAATTCCTGAAACAACGTTTCCAATAATTTCCAAAAATCTCCATCATTCCTAATTGCACACATTACCAAAATTTCCAGCCATAAATTAACTTAGTAGAATCATAATCAACCTATTCTCCCATCACCACTCTCTCCACAATTCTAAATAAAAAAAATTCCTGAAACAACGTTTCCAATAATTTCCAAAAATCTCCATCATTCCTAATTGCACACATTACCAAAATTTCCAGCCATAAATTAACTTAGTAGAATCATAATCAACCTATTCTCCCATCACCACTCTCTCCACAATTCTAAATAAAAAAAATTCCTGAAACAACGTTTCCAATAATTTCCAAAAATCTCCATCATTCCTAATTGCACACATTACCAAAATTTCCAGCCATAAATTAACTTAGTAGAATCATAATCAACCTATTCTCCCATCACCACTCTCTCCACAATTCTAAATAAAAAAAATTCCTGAAACAACGTTTCCAATAATTTCCAAAAATCTCCATCATTCCTAATTGCACACATTACCAAAATTTCCAGCCATAAATTAACTTAGTAGAATCATAATCAACCTATTCTCCCATCACCACTCTCTCCACAATTCTAAATAAAAAAAATTCCTGAAACAACGTTTCCAATAATTTCCAAAAATCTCCATCATTCCTAATTGCACACATTACCAAAATTTCCAGCCATAAATTAACTTAGTAGAATCATAATCAACCTATTCTCCCATCACCACTCTCTCCACAATTCTAAATAAAAAAAATTCCTGAAACAACGTTTCCAATAATTTCCAAAAATCTCCATCATTCCTAATTGCACACATTACCAAAATTTCCAGCCATAAATTAACTTAGTAGAATCATAATCAACCTATTCTCCCATCACCACTCTCTCCACAATTCTAAATAAAAAAAATTCCTGAAACAACGTTTCCAATAATTTCCAAAAATCTCCATCATTCCTAATTGCACACATTACCAAAATTTCCAGCCATAAATTAACTTAGTAGAATCATAATCAACCTATTCTCCCATCACCACTCTCTCCACAATTCTAAATAAAAAAAATTCCTGAAACAACGTTTCCAATAATTTCCAAAAATCTCCATCATTCCTAATTGCACACATTACCAAAATTTCCAGCCATAAATTAACTTAGTAGAATCATAATCAACCTATTCTCCCATCACCACTCTCTCCACAATTCTAAATAAAAAAAATTCCTGAAACAACGTTTCCAATAATTTCCAAAAATCTCCATCATTCCTAATTGCACACATTACCAAAATTTCCAGCCATAAATTAACTTAGTAGAATCATAATCAACCTATTCTCCCATCACCACTCTCTCCACAATTCTAAATAAAAAAAATTCCTGAAACAACGTTTCCAATAATTTCCAAAAATCTCCATCATTCCTAATTGCACACATTACCAAAATTTCCAGCCATAAATTAACTTAGTAGAATCATAATCAACCTATTCTCCCATCACCACTCTCTCCACAATTCTAAATAAAAAAAATTCCTGAAACAACGTTTCCAATAATTTCCAAAAATCTCCATCATTCCTAATTGCACACATTACCAAAATTTCCAGCCATAAATTAACTTAGTAGAATCATAATCAACCTATTCTCCCATCACCACTCTCTCCACAATTCTAAATAAAAAAAATTCCTGAAACAACGTTTCCAATAATTTCCAAAAATCTCCATCATTCCTAATTGCACACATTACCAAAATTTCCAGCCATAAATTAACTTAGTAGAATCATAATCAACCTATTCTCCCATCACCACTCTCTCCACAATTCTAAATAAAAAAAATTCCTGAAACAACGTTTCCAATAATTTCCAAAAATCTCCATCATTCCTAATTGCACACATTACCAAAATTTCCAGCCATAAATTAACTTAGTAGAATCATAATCAACCTATTCTCCCATCACCACTCTCTCCACAATTCTAAATAAAAAAAATTCCTGAAACAACGTTTCCAATAATTTCCAAAAATCTCCATCATTCCTAATTGCACACATTACCAAAATTTCCAGCCATAAATTAACTTAGTAGAATCATAATCAACCTATTCTCCCATCACCACTCTCTCCACAATTCTAAATAAAAAAAATTCCTGAAACAACGTTTCCAATAATTTCCAAAAATCTCCATCATTCCTAATTGCACACATTACCAAAATTTCCAGCCATAAATTAACTTAGTAGAATCATAATCAACCTATTCTCCCATCACCACTCTCTCCACAATTCTAAATAAAAAAAATTCCTGAAACAACGTTTCCAATAATTTCCAAAAATCTCCATCATTCCTAATTGCACACATTACCAAAATTTCCAGCCATAAATTAACTTAGTAGAATCATAATCAACCTATTCTCCCATCACCACTCTCTCCACAATTCTAAATAAAAAAAATTCCTGAAACAACGTTTCCAATAATTTCCAAAAATCTCCATCATTCCTAATTGCACACATTACCAAAATTTCCAGCCATAAATTAACTTAGTAGAATCATAATCAACCTACTCTACTATCACCACTCTCCCCACAATCCTAACTAAAAAAATAAATTCCTGAAACAACATTTCCAATAATTTCCAAAAATCCTAATTTCCAAATTAAATCAATTCCCTCCCAAAGAAAATTAAACTCCCCCAAAATAAAATCCTTTTTTTCAACACTACAACCAATAAAAACCATCTCGAATATTTCTAAAAACAAAAAAAACAAAAAAAAAAAAAAAAAAACACCATTAAAGCGAATCGGAAAAATTCCTCGAGCGACGATTCATCGGAACACGCGTGAACGATTCTCGTTACGTTCTACTCTAGCCCGACGTGAAGAAAAGGGGTGGCTGTAGAAGAAGGAGGGCAGGCATGAAGAAAAGAAGCATGAAAGAAGAAGGGTATGCAGGGCACGCGATGGTACTCACGTGCGCCAAGTACGGAACTACTCGAGCATCATCGAGTCGAGTACATTAGCCCCGCAGGTTCATCGGACCTGCTCGTTGCTCTAGCACAGCACGCCGGAGGTCGGCCTCGCGACTTCTCGTCTTAACCTTTTAACCCTTATCAGACCGACCAATCGATACGTTAACGCGATAACCGTGGATTGGTCAGGCTTGATAAACATCAAATCTTATCATTTTTCGTATGATTACATGTGTAACGTTTGTTTCGGATGTTTGTAGATTCGGTATAGTTGATGGAAGAAATATAGCAAAACAGATATAGGGCAGATTCTGGTGAAAGTGTGACAGAAATAGTTATATCGGTAAAAAAGATTAATTTTAATTTGCAATTTATTTTTAAATTATAAGGAGGAATAAATATAGCGAAATCGTAAATTAACCCTTTGTGTTATAATAATGAGTCAGACTCCTGATAACAGATTCTGGTGAAAGTGTGATTGTAAGAGTTCTAACAGTAATAAAGATTAATTTTGATTTTTAGTTCAGTTTTAATTTATAAGACTGAGAATTATTAAATTTTTATTGTTAAAATAATAAATAGCTAGTGAAAAAATGACGAGCCCAAGGATTAAAGCATTACAATTAAGTCGTCCAATTTTTTTTCACTATTTTCTCTCACTTTCCATATTGCGTTATGGAAAGAACATAAGTTACTACACCATTGTTAATAATGGGAAAATTATTTTTATACGTTTAGGAAATAATTAAAAAGAAAACTGATCGTTTTTGTCACGTTAAGTTGAGAAAAATGTGAGGTTAAGCGAAACTTGAAACTTTTGTTTAACTTACGTTTCAATATATTTACTTTCTTCTTCGATAGGTAACAGATAATCGATAAAGGCAATTTGGATCTTTCTAAAAATATTCCCGTCTGATTCATCAAGCACTTCTCTCCGCGTTCTCGAATGAAAAAATTAAACCACTTTTCTAATTTCGAACAAACAGTTTATCTTTCGTAGAGAGTTTAAAAATGAAAAATAACAAGATACGAAGGAAAACGTGTATTTATACTCGTGAGATAAGAATGCTTTGCAAGGAAAAAAATGGGAATCTACAGACGTAACTATTACGTGCAAAGAGTACACTGATTTCTTTCGTTCTATTTAAAGAATTCCACTCTCTGAACTTTAATACACGGAAGAATCGTAAATGTATAAATAAAATTGTTAACCTAACCTTGAAAGATTTGCTACTTTTATCCAATTTCAAGTGCACAATCAATTATTCAGAAAGTTCGATCAGATTTTCGAATAAAATAGCAATTGTAAATTTACCAGTTTTGCAGAGATCCTTTTAACCGACATCAATTATTCTAAAACTTGGATCAGATCCCAATCGAATTGACACAGTATCATAGGTACAGTGAGTCAGAGGAAACTTCGATGAAAAATCGCACAGTATC